TAAAACTAATAAAAGAAGAGCTCCAGTGATCAAGCGAAGTGCTTGATTATGAAAAACCTCAAGGGATCTGCGAACCTGACTTGGAGCACTAATTAAGGGTTCACAGCAGTATGTAATCACCGGAAGAACAAATGTTTTATAGGTTGTTTTGAGAGTTGATCTAGAGCAACCCCATCTACAGCCTGCCAGACGCTTTAAGATGGAAAGTCTACTTGAAGCTTTGTCAATTATGTTTTCCGAATGGAGCCTCCAGGTGAGCTTACGATCGAATATCACACCTAGGTAAGTAAAACTGTCTGTTGTTTGGATGTTTTCACCTCCATAAGCCAATGAGAGATCTAATTTATTATGGGAAAGAGAGAAACTTTCATAACAAGTTTTTTCAACGTTAACTTTCATATTGTTTTTCAGGCACCATTCCTCAAGGTGAGTAAGGGCTTGGTTTAGTACTTTTTCAGTCAGGAAGGAAGACCTTCTCTTTGGGGTTTCAGTCCAAATGAGGAGGTCATCGGCATAGAGTAGACATTTGATACCAGGGATAGATTTTAACTTCTGGACAAGGTCGTTGATATATATGTTAAAAAGAATACAGCTCAAGACTGCTCCCTGAGGGAGTCCAGTCTGAAGTTGGCCATATTTTGAAAGTTTTGTTCCGTATCTGACTCTGCAGAGGCGCTGACCTATGAAACTCTTGATCCAGATTAGCATGTGTCCAGTTATTCCCATATTGTAAAGTTTGAGTAGGAGATTTTCTTTCCAAACTGTGTCGTATGCTGATTTCAAATCGACAGCAATTGCTGTAAGAACTTGCCTTGAATCCAAAACGTCTTTTATAGCTTGGCTAAAAAGAGTTACATGATGCGAAGTTGATCTTGACCTTCGAAAACCAGCCTGTTCTTCGGCAAGCAAGGAATGAGACTCCAGGTACCAATTGAGTCTGTTGTAAATCATTCTTTCCATTGTTTTACACATAAGGCTTGTCAATGATATTGGTCTATAATTACGTACATCTTCAGCGTTTTTTCCTTTCTTGTGGACCGAAATGACTAAAGCTTTACGCCACAATGAAGGCACACGGCCAGAATTCCAGACTATGTTAAAGAATGCAAGAAGGTTGGCTTCAGTAGTTTGACCCATGTGCTTTAAAAATTCGGAGTGGATGTTATCAACCCCGGGAGATTTGCTGTTTTTCAATCTAAACAGGGCCATATTTAGCTCGTGTTGGGAGAATGGAGCACAAAAAATATTCGTTTCGCTCACCGGGAGATTAGAATAGCCACTCTGGGCACAACCAAGTCTGCGATTAAACACTCTGGACATTTTTCTTGCGAATGTACCTTTACGATTTGCCCGGAAAAGTGCTTCAAGAAACAGTGGGCAACTTTAGTATCTGAAGATATAACTTTTCCATCAACAAGAAATGGGCGTTTAGCAATTTGAGGGGATTGGTTTTTCAATTGAGATAGAAATTTGTAAGTTTTCAAGCTATCTTTTTGGAAATTAATTTCAGAGATGAATTCATTAAAACTGTTCCTTTTTGCAGTTATAATGGCCTTGTTGAATATAGCCACTTGCTTTCTCCAATTTATAACATCTGGAACCCTACCAGTGATCTCTGCTTTCCTTCGTAGGCGATCACGTTTATCTTTTAGTTGTTGGAGTTCTTCGCTCCAAGAACTACTGTATCTCTTGACTCTTCCCCTAGGAATAGCAATTTTAGCACTATCCAGAATATAATTAAGTTTAGCACAAATAGCATCTGGATGGGAGTGAGTGTCTACAGGGTTCCTTTGTAAGAGTTGCTCCAGGGTGTCTGTGTAAAGTTTCCAGTTCGCCTTCACAAAATTCCAGGAAACATATGTGAGATGTGCTGCAGACCTTCTATCTGCAGAAAAGGATATCTCAGCCAAGATTTGTCTGTGTCCAGAGCCAGGATCCCCAAGGACACTTCGTGTTGTTGTTCAAGTGCAAGGACACTTCGTGTCGTGTTTTGAAATGTATTTGTTATGAATTTACTAAATCAATTTTTATTAGCAATGAAAATATAGACAAAACTACAGTGATAAAACAAGTATCGTTTATATTTTAACTAAAACTAATAAAAGAAGTTTCTGATTTCTTATGGTGATCTTCCAACAAATGAAATTAAAATAAACTAAAATTTTACTTCGAAAAATTTTATGATACGCGTTGTTTGGTCTTTAAAAGGTTTAATGTTAGGGTGTACAATTATTGTTTAGTACTTGCATAAAAAGGTTAACAGTTTAGCTCCTAATGAACACATTTAGCACTGATTAATTTTTGTAAAAAGTGGAATATATACTTATATTTGAATCTTGTCGGCATTTCTCCTGGTGTGGAAGTTAAATCTGAAAACAATTTGCGTACTGTTTATGTTTTGAAATGTATTTGTTATGAATTTACTAAATCAATTTTTATTAGCAATGAAAATATAGACGAAACTACAGTGATAAAAACAAGTATCGTTTATTTTTTAACTAAAACTAATAAAAGAAGTTTCTGATTTCTTATGGTGATCTTCCAACAAATGAAATTAAAATAAACTAAAATTTTACTTCGAAAAAATTTTTATGATACGCGTTGTTTGGTCTTTAAAAGGTTTAATGTTAGGGTGTACAATTATTGTTTAGTACTTGCATAAAAAGGTTAACAGTTTAGCTCCTAATGAACACATTTAGCACTGATTAATTTTTGTAAAAAGTGGAATATATACTTACATTTGAATCTTGTCGGCAGTTCTCCTGGTGTGGAAGTTAAATCTGAAAACAATTTGCGTACTGTTTATGTTTTGAAATGTATTTGTTATGAATTTACTAAATCAATTTTATTAGCAATGAAAATATAGACAAAACTACAGTGATAAAAACAAGTATCGTTTATTTTTTAACTAAAACTAATAAAAGAAGTTTCTGATTTCTTATGCTGATCTTCCAACAAATGAAATTAAAATAAACTAAAATTTTACTTCGAAAAAATTTTTATGATACGCGTTGTTTGGTCTTTAAAAAGTTTAATGTTAGGGTGTACAATTATTGTTTGGTACTTGCATAAAAAGGTTAACAGTTTAGCTCTTAATGAACACATTTAGCACTGATTAATTTTCGCAAAAAGTGTAATATATACTTACCGTTGAATCTTGTCGACAGTTAGTGTGGAAGTTAAATCTGAAAACAATTTGCTTACTGTTTATCTTTTGAAATGTAATTGTTATGAATTTACTAAATCAATTTTTTTAGCAATCGAACTATAGACAAAACTGCAGTAATAAAAACATGTATCGTTTATTTTTTTAACGAAAACTAATTGGTTTTCATTTGTTGGAAGATCACCACATGAAACACTCAAAAACTTTCTTTTTTAAACTAATATTTTACACTGATAAATTTTTATGGTATGCATTGTTTGATCTTTAAAAAGTTTAATGTTAGAGTGTACAATTATTGTTTAGTACTTGCATAAAGTTGTTAACAGTTTAGCTCTTAATGAATGCATTTATCACCGATTTAACTTTTGTAAAAAATGTAATATACACTTACAGTTGAATCTTGTCGAAAGCTCCCCTGGTGTAGTATCGAAATCTATAAACAATTTGTTAATTTTAGATAATTTGAATTATATTTGCTGTGTAACAGTTTAATTAAGCTTTATAATTGGTTATCAGCAAAAAAATCACAAAACCTTTACGTTAAAAATGTACATGTCTCATCATTTACCTTTTACGTATAGTAGTTAATAAAAACAAAACTTTTCTTATTTGAACTTTTTCATTTTCTGATCTTCCAGCGAATAAAGCTCAATTAAATAATTTACAGAATCAACAATTAACTAATACTGATGCAATTATTATGTCTATCTCATTAACTAATGTTAGGAATTTCATTTAAAACACAATCTTACAAATAGAGTTAAGGTAAAACATTATAATTATTGTTAAATATTTGTAAAAAATTGGCGTGCATAATTTACAGCATGCATAGTTTTAAGCAATGCATTTAAGTCAGCATCTAACAAGGGAAACTAGGGAAGTGTGACTCGCCAATTTTGAAATAAACTAGTGGGATGTATGCCTNTGTTATAAAATTATTTTATAAAACTAACAGATTTTACATTATTTGAATTATATTTGCTGTGTAATAGTTTAATTGAACTTTATAATTGGTTATCAGCAAAAAAATCACAAAACTTTTACATTAAAAATGTACATGTCTCATCATTTACCTTTTACGTATAGTTAATAAAAACAAAACTTTTCTTATTTGAACTTTTTCATTTTTTGATCTTCCAGCGAATAAAGCTCAATTAAATAATTTACAGAATCCACAATTAACTAATACTGATGCAATTATTATGTCTATCTCATTAACTAATGTTAGGAATTTCATTTAAAACACAATCTTACAAATAGAGTTAAGGTAAAACATTATAATTATTGTTAAATAGTTGTAAAAAATTGGCGTGCATAATTTACAGCATGCATAGTTTTAAGCAATGCATTTAAGTCAGTATCTAACAAGGGAAACTAGGGAAGTGTGACTCGCCAATTTTGAAATAAACTAGTGGGATGTATGCCTTATGAGGAATAATTTTAGGGGGCAACATTTATTTCGGCCCGTAGAAGATCCGGTGAGAGATAAAAAATAATTCAATTAATAGAAAAATCCGTTTTTTACTACTTTAATGCAGACTATCAGTTATTGTAACTGTCTCATAATCCATTTAATTTGTAATTAATTGGATAATTAATTAATTTGCGAATTAATAAATTAATTAACATTCGTTTTGGCCCATAGAGGGTCCTGTGAGAGAAAAAATAATTCAATATTTAGAAAAATCAGTATTTTATTACTTCAATGCAGACTATTAGTTATTGTAATTGTCTCATAATCCAATTAATTTGTAACTAATTGAATAATTAATTAATTTGCTAATCAATAAATTAATAAGAAAATTAATTAATTAATAATAATTGTTAATTAATTTTTAATTTATTTGCAATTACATACTCCAATTGATTTTGAAAGTTTTCTGAAACAAAATAAAAAAAATTTGATGTCAATTTTTTTTTTAAATTAACCTAACAGGTTTTTCTGAAAAACTACAGATATATAAAATTTCTGAAATCAATTTTAACAATAAATGTGCATTATATAGTACGTGAAAGTACCACAAAATTAATTGGAGTATGAGACAATTACAATAACTAATAGTCTGCATTGAAGTAATGAAATACCGATTTTTCTACATACTTAATTATTTTTTATCTCTCATAGGACCCTCTATGGGCCGAAACGAATGTTGCCCCCTAAAATTATTCCTCATAAGGCATACATCCCACTAGTTTATTTCAAAATTGGCGAGTCACACTTCCCTAGTTTCCCTTGTAAGTATTATTAGTTTTTTAAATGTATACAAACATTTGGATATTGACACAGGTTCCCCAGGTAAGATTGTGAAATCTGTATCCATACAGTTAATTTATACAGTTTGAAATATATTTATTGTAAAATTACTAAATTCTAATCTTCAGTAGTAGTAGAAATAGCGACAAAACTATTACAATTAACTATTACAATAAACTATTACTATAAACTATTACAATAAACTATTACTTCATGCCGAATCAATTACTTAAGAAAAACTAATAAAAACAATGTTTTGGGGAGTTTTCATCAGTTGATCCTCTAACAAATGAAAGTAAGTAATGAAGATTTTAAGGTACATTGAAGTTAAACTGTTCAACATAAAAACTGCCACATTTAACCCAGATATCCATTGTTTTGTTGTGTCCAATATGTCATTCTCGAAAAGTCATCGATGTACTGTCATTTATAAATGATTTTCTTCTCTAGTAAAAAGTCAAACCACCCAGTCTTACCCCACTAGTAGGGTAAAACCGGGTACACATTTAGCTCAATGGGAAATTTGGAAATATTAGAATTTCAATGAAAAAGTATATATCTTTCTATTTTTTATGACACCTATAGAAAATTATGCATGTAATTTATATGTGATGTAGTCAAAGCCGTACTCAAGGTGGTGGAGAGTCAATTATTCCAGGAATAAGGACTGCTGATGGTGTGAACAAAATTCCTTACAAAATATGCAGTGTTTATATATTGTTTTTCAAGTAAATAGTAAAGAATTTCTTTAACTGTATGAAAACTGCAATTTTGTATAAAGGGTTTAATTTTTTATAAAATGTGAAAATAAGGCTTTTTGTGCTTTGGAAAGTTACCCGCAATAAGTTTTGCATTGATATTTGTAAAACCTTTGTTCGGCTTTGGATTTAGTTATATTTTATCTCCGTAGCACTGTAGCTTCTTATGGGCCCAGCAATGACACCCATGTAGAGGAGGGTTGATCGCCGGGTTACCTCTACGAGCAGAGGATAGCACAGAATAGCATTGGCTATGAATCCTTAACAAGCGTATATTAAGATCGATTAAAAAAAGTTTTTATAATTTTGCTGAAAAATAAATAAGGATAGTTTAAAAACAAAAGAAAACTGTAAAGAATGGTGGCAATTACTTTACACCAATGTGGTATTCCACTACACCGAAAATGAGGATAGTTATCGGTTGAGTGATTTCTAGAATGCTTATTTACGCTACTCGGAGTAAAGTAACCGCCACCTTGTTAGTTATCCAGAAACACTAACATTTATGATTTCAGTAAGATATGGTACACATAAGTATCAGTAAAATTACTTTTACTGTTCAATATAAAACAAGAATTATAAATTTTGGTTGCATATATACAATATTTCCCAAAAATAGTTTCTTATACGAGTACACAGAGCACAGATAAAATACTAATATCAATTTGAACAAAACCGAAGGGAATAGAATTTAAATATTATAAAATTATTTTATAGAACTAACAGATTTATGCAAATCTTATGAAAACATAAATATCTGCTTAATACAACTAAAAGCGTGCATGCACTTTTTAATAGTTTATATGAGTAATTTGTCCAATCAATTCAATAAGAAAATTTCAATTGCTCGACAAAAATTGGCCACAATTAATTTTCTTAATCAATTGTTTTTGTCTTATGTCACTTGTTAATATTTACAAGCAAATTTTAAGGCAGAGGATCGCGCTTCTTCCTGCTTTTCCAGTGGATTACCGGGACGTCTTATGGGAGTGGATTATCAATTACCGGAAATCAGACTTCTTCCACACGCATACATCACAGCCCATTTTACAGAGAGGACACATTCACGCGCCATCCATCGGTAGATCGTAATTTTGACCTAAACAAGAGCACGATCAATCTCCCACCCAGTACCCCCAGAGGTATTGATTTATTAAGGAAACTTGGAGGAGTTTGCGACCCCTATAGATTTAGCGTGCACCAGCTATCATTTTGTACACTGGGAGTCTTCAGCCGGCGGGGATCTAACCCACGACCTCTTGGATATGGGCCCAACGCCCAACCAGCCGGCCTATCCCGGCCTTTTAATCAATTAGTAAGAAGGATTGAAACTTACTTGATATGTATAACCAGTTTGTCAGTTCAATTCGTCAAGAAGGCATTAACCAGCACACTTCATGTAAGCAAACCGCCATACTGTCAATATCTTAAAATTTTCCAATTATCCGCCTTTAAACTTATAATAATGATCCAAAAACATTTGTTTTATGTTTAAAACAAGCCCTACTATAATTCACACAAGAACTTAGTTAAATAAATTAAATAAACATTAGTTATTGCCAAATTTACGGAGCTTCACTTTTTTTAACAGTGAGCTGTAGATTGATGTAAGCTTTATCAATTATTGGTGCTAAGATTTAACTTCACTCTTTGAATTCCCTTAGAACAATCGATTCGATACACTGTAAAAAATTGATGCTCTCAAATTTCACGAAACTTTTTTCGTTTTTGACGAAAAAAGTGTGGTTAACCAGTGATAAACAAGTGTGAAAACCAGCGATAGTTTCAGCAGTTAAGTCTCTTGGATATCGTTTGTGCATTTTCAAACAGACATGTATGGCGATGCACACTGACCACGAAACATATTTTGGATGATGATCTGAAATAAGTCTGGACCAATGGCAAAGTCAGGTATTTCTGCTGATATGAGCTGACCAATTTGGCATGGTGTGATTATTTCAATAAGCCAAATCATGTGGCAATCTTTTTTTGCCATTCAATCGAATACATCAAACACTGTGTCTCACCAAAAACATGAGGCCTCACAATGAGATCAAGAATAGAGCTTATTTTTCGTTTTAACTCACGTGCATTAATATCATGAAGATCCGATGATGTTTGCCTTGGTTACAAAAGCTCTTTAATTTCAGCCCAAGCAGGATTACTGTAAGAAAGATTTAAACCAGCATATTGGCGGTGTTTGAATAGAGAAGTGAGTTTTCTATCGTTTCCTATTCTTACTTTCCATTGTTTTTATGTTTAAGATAAACGAGCTTGACAAATATATTTTAAATCGGAAACCTGCCTTGCTTACCGTTGCTCAGATGTTTCAGAGGAATGAGCTTGAGAGGTGCGCAGTCAATCGATAACCAGTTTTGCTTGCTGTTGCTCAGAAGTTTCACATTTTGTATTTAATTATGATATGAAATGTATTTAATTGTTGAAAAGCATTTGGTAATTTCACGACTCGTTATAATCAGGTTTATTCAAGTGCTTTTGAATAAACAATGTTTTTTGTTTTACCGTTTAGAGCGTACATGAATAAATTAGAAGGTCTTCCGACACGTGAGTAGGCCACATAGAGCTGTCTGAGGAAAAATCATGGATTTTTCAAATTCAGACCACATACTTGTAGTGACTGTTCTTCGACTTTGTTGATGATCATAGCAAAAGCAAGTCGCAAAGGAAACTGCAAACGTTTAAATTCAAATGGCATATATCTGTGGGGGTCATTGAAATACGCAGTAACAGAACATCTTCCCCATTAAATTTGACATTTAGAGTTGTAGCTTCGAGGATATTGGTTGTTATTCTTTTCACTGAAAGACGCGTACCGTTACAAAGTCTAGGTGGGTTGATGTTTGGGAGGAGAATGATAGATACGCCAGTTTTCAATCTTAAAACGTGCCGCAGCAGGAAAATCAAGTGAATTCAGAAATTCAGTTGGGCAGTTTACAACCTCGTTTTGATCTATAACAGTATCGATGAATTTATATGCTCTTGCATAATTTAAAATAATGGCTAATTTTTAACCAATCAGAAAATTTCATTTTTACTTTCGCTCATACCGCTGGAAAGGTTTGTCGTAGAAGGTTCTTATGTCGACAGTGATCTTCCTCGTGCTTTGAAATATCTGTATGCAAAGTTTCATAGCTTTTGGTCGGTTGGTTTAGGAGTATATAAAGGACACACACACAGGCAGACCGACATTAATTTTTATGTATATAGAAGATTGACAAAAACAAAACTCACCTTTTTGAGTTATTTGTTGAAAAGTTTGACATTTAACATTTAGAGAAAAAAATTAAGTAGGAAAAATTTGTTAATTCATTTTAATTTATCCCTGAAATTTGGACAAGAAAAAATTAACTTAAATCTTGATTTTATAAAAAATCTTTACAAAGATACGAAAATATTATAAGAATTTTAAATGCTTATTTGCGTAGTGTTGAATTTTCTTTTCTAATGTTACAAAAATTAAGAAAATGAATGATCAATACAAAATATAGATACATTTGGAAAGTTCTCCGATCTCAATTAAAGAAAAATTATCCCCCTCCCTTTTTTAAGTAGTTTGTATTAAAAATGTAACATTTTTTATACAATGTGACATTTCGTGAAAAAATTTGTTTTGGTGTTGCGAAAAAAAATATAAGAAAATAAAAGAAAAAAAAATTCTATAGACAATATTAAGATGCCAGCCATCGTCTGTAATAATTTTATTTTATTACGTTGACCCCTAATCGCAGTTTTGGACCAATAACTTTGAAAAAGTTATTTTAGCTGTTTTTCATCAAGAATATTTGTATAAAATAATTTCTTGAAAAGATGTATGACATGTCAGCAATGGCCACTGGTCGATTTTCTTTAAATATTTGCCAACATCGAAAAAAAAAGTTTTAATTATCCCTTTTTCCTTTTTTAAAAAAAATTGAAACCAATATTTTCCAGCTAATTTTAAGATCATTATATTTTCTCGTATCTCTTGGTCTCATACTTGCCCTTGCATTGTATAACTTTCGTTCCTTTTTTGCCTTCATCTACCAGTTTAAAGTCTTTTTGGCAGTCACAAAAGTAATCATTTCCTTTCGGAATACAGATTTGATTTTCCCCTGTACATTCTGTACCTAGACACTCATATTTATCTGTAATAAAAAATAAGCTATATTTCATACCAGAAATAAGTGAAAGGATAACTAGTAAAGGTAAAAATGTATTTTTTAAAATTGATATAAAGCACTTTATGGTGAAAAAAAAAGAGTTGCTTGTTTGTTTTGTGATTAAAAAAATCCTGGATTATTTTGGATCCAAGATTTTTTTAATGTGAAAATTTTCAGACCTCAATTCAAGCGAAAATATCCCTTTTAATTTGTTTGCATAAAAAATATGACATTTAACATTTTATTTATAATATAATTTCATGTAACTTTTTGGATATAATTTAGTTTAATAATTTTAGCTGTAAATCACAATTTTATTCTCTTATTGACAGAAACAAAACACAACTTCTTGAGTAATTTAATAAAAAGTTTGACATTTAACATTTTGATCAAAAAATTGAGGAGGAAAAATTTGTCAGTTAACTTCAAATTATCGCTTAAATTTGGAAAAAGAATTAACCTAAATCTCATTTTTGTGAAAATCTTTAAATAGATAGGTAAATATTGTAAGAATTTTAAATGCTTATTTGCATAGTGATGAATTTTTTTTCTTATGTCACAAAAATTAAGAAAATTGAATGATTAATAAAAATTATAGATAACTTTAGAAAGTCCTCCGATATCAATCATAGCAAAATTTCCCCCTTTTTTGATGTTTGCATTAAAAATGTGACATTTAATATTTCAGGAAAAATTTACGTACAAATATTTCTTTTTGAGCTGCAGAAGAAAGAAAGAAATATATACACAATTTTAGCATTCCTTCCACCGTCTTTAATACTTTTTTCTTCTAACTTGACCCCTAATAGCAGTTTTAGTCCAATAACTTTTAAATAGTCATTTTAGCTGTTTTTCATTAAGAATATTTCTATAAATAATTTCTTGTAATTCAGAAATTGTCAAAATTGTTTATCTAACTTTAAGATCATAATATTTTCTCGTATCTCTTAAAATTATACTTGCCTCTGCATTCTATATCTTTAATTCCTTTTAGGGTTTCATCTACCAGTTTAAAGTCTTTTTGGCAGTCACAAAAGTAATCATTTCCTTTCGGAATACACCTTTGATTTTCCCCTGTACATTCTGTACCTCCACACTCATATTTATCTGTAATGAAAAATAAACTATATTTCATACCTGAAATAATAAAAAGGATAACTGTTTAAAGATAAAAAAGCACTTCTTTTAAATTTGATATGAAGCAGTTTGTGATGAAAAAAATCGTTGATTATTTTGGATCTAAAATTTTTCTTAAGATGAAAATTTTCAGACCCTTATGCAAAAATATCAATTTTAGTTTTTTTATATAAAAAATATGACATTGAGAATTTTATCTATAACATAATTTCATGTAACTTTTTGAACATAAAAAAAACTTGAATAATTTTAACTGTAAACCGCTATTTTATTTTCTTATTGACGGAAACAAGACACACCTTCTTGAATTATTTGTTGAAAATTTAAATATTTAGCGTTTAGAGAAGAAAAATTGAGGAAGAGAAATTTGTATATTCACTTTCAAAAAAATCACTTAAATTTGCAACAAAAAATTTTTATATGAAAAATAGGAAATTTAAAATTTTATCTTTAATATAATTTCATGTAACTTTTTGAACATAAAAGAATTTGAGTAATTTTAGTTGTAAAACACTATTTCATTTTCTTATTGACAGAAACAAAACACACCTTCTTGAATTATTTTTTAAAAGGTTTGACATTTAATATTTTGAAAAAAATTTGAGGATGAAAAATTTTTTAATTCACTTTAAAATATCACGGAAATTTGTAAGAAAAAAATTACCCTAAATCTTATTTCTATCAAAATCTTTAAAAAGATATGCAAATATTTTAAGAATTTTAATTGCTTATTTGTGCAGTTTTGATTTTTTTTTCTGATTTCACCAAAATTAAGAAAATGGAATGATTAAAAAAAAATTAGATAGATTTTGAAAGTTTTCCGATCTCAATTTTAAAAAAAATTTACCCCTTTTTTGTATTAAAAATGCGTCATTTAATGTTTCGGGGAAGGATATACGTGAAAATATTTGTTTTGGTGCAGCAAAACAAAGAAAGAAAAGAAATATATAGAAAATTTCAACATGCCAGCCACCGTCTGTATTAATTTGATTTTCTTAAATTGACCCGTAATCGCAGTTTCTGTCCAATAACTTTGAAAAAGTTATTTTCGCTGTTTTTCTTCAAGAATATTTCTATAAAATATTTTCTTGAAAATATGTACATGGCAGGAACAGTCACTGGTCGATTTCTCTTCCAATGTGATAACAACAAAAAAAATTGGTTTTAAAAATCACTTTTTTTTCCTTTTTTTAAAACAAATAAAACCATAATTGTAAAAATTGCCCATCTAACTTTAAGATCATAATATTTTCTCATATTTCTTGTTTTTATATTTACCCTTGCATTGTATATCTTTCGTTCCTTTTTTTACTTCATCTACCAGTTTAAAGTCTTTATTGCAGTCACAAAAGTAATCATTTCCTTTTGGAATACACATTTGATATTCCCCTGTACATTCAGTACCTCCACACACAAATTTATCTGTATCAAAAAATAAGCTATATTTCATACCAGAAATAAGTGAAATGTTAACTATTTAAATATAAAATTGCTTTTTTTAAAATTGATATGAAGCAGTTTGTGATGAAAAAGCGTTGTTTGTTTGTTTTTTGATGACAAAAAATCGTTGATTATTTCGGGTCCAAGACTTTTTTAAGATGAAAATTTTCTAGTCGAAGGATTTTTTAAGAAGAAAATTTGCAGACCTCAATTAATAGAAAAATATGAATTTTGCTTGTTTTTTTTATTTAAAAAGTATGACATTGAACATTTTATGTATAACATATTTTCATGCAACTTTTTGGACATAATATAACTAGAATAATTTTAGTTTTAAACCACTATTTTATTTTCTTCCTAGCTATATTTTATTTCTTACTAGCTCTATTTTATTTTTTTACTAGCATGCGTGGTAATTTTTTCAGTTTGAATTGTAATTTTGTATTTAAGTGTGTAAATGGGATTTGCGATTGGGATTTGAAATGAGAATTTTATTACATGCTGAAAAAACCAGTGATAGTCTCAGCAGTTAATTGATTGATTGATTGATTGATTTGTTCATTTACGTCGCACTAGAGCTGCACAATGGGCTATTGGCGACGGTCTGGGATACATCCCGGAGGATGAACCGAAGACATGCCATCACAATTTTGATCCTCTGCGGAGGGGATGGCACCCCCGCTTCGGTAGCCCGACGACCTGCGCGCGAAGTCGAGCACTTTACGGTAGCACAGTTTAACGAGGACCAATACAGCTCACCCTCGGTCCCCACGCAGCCTGATCCAAGTGGTCACCCACCCGCACACTAACCGCAGCCAGTGATGCTTGACTTCGGTGATCTGCTGGGAACCGTGTCTTAACGATCAGTCCACTGCGGGACCAGTTAATTCTCTAGAATATCGTTTATGCATTTTCGTTATGCGAGTGCATCATCATACATGTCTGTTTGAAAATGCATAATTCTCTAGAATATCGTTTATGCATTTTCAAACAGACATGTATGATGATGCACTCGGAGCATAAAGCATATTTTGGATGATGATATAAAATAAGTCTGGATCAATGGCGACATCAGGTATTTCTGTCGATATGAGTTGAACAATTTGGCATGGAGTTATTTTTTCAATAAACCAGATGATGTTTCAATCCTCTTTTTTGCCATTCAATAGACTTCAAACACAATGTCTCTCCAAAAACATGACGCTTCACTATGAAATCAAATACAGAGCTTAATTTTTGCTTTAATTTGGTAATATCATTAAGATCAGATGATGTTTGCCTGGGTTACAAAAGCTCTTTAATTTCAGCTCAGGCAGGATTGCATGTAAATGCAATAAATAAATCTGGCTCCCCATCTGCGTACTTGTAGCAACGAATGAAGACATTTGGAAACACGAATTGTACCGGCCAATAAAAGTTTCAATTGATTTGCTTGACCCGATAACAACGTTGGTAATGGCTCGGTTGGAGATGTTAAATCTGGTAGTTTCACTTTTGCACCAGAGAAACAAATTCCAGCTGTTTCATTCTTAAATTTGAGAGCACTACAAGACATACATAAATGATCCATTTTTCCGATGATGACTTCGATTCCTATGATAGCTTCGAGGATATTGGTCATTATTCTTTTCACTGAAAGACGCGTACCGTTACAAGGTCTGGGTGAGTTGATGTTTCGGAAGAGAAGGATGGGTACTCTAGTTTCTAATGTTAAAAGACTGATTATTCTATTAGCAAATATATTTATTCAATTTTTGCATGATTCATTATGACTTATAAAAAAACAGTGTGAATTGATCGAACTGTTTAAAAACGATGGAAATTTATATTTCTCACTAATTTAGGTCTAGTTTGAAGAAGTGTAGTATGAATGAAATTGCTTAACCATGTCATGTCTTCTAAAATGCTGCAGATTAAATTACACTTAATTGTCAAGAGTGTTGAGTTAAGATAAAGATAATCATAGAGATAACATATAATTTTCTCGCATCTCTTGGTGTAATTCTTTCCCTTGCATTGAACGTCTTTTGTTCCTTTTCTCTTATCATCTACCAGTTTAAAATTTTCAGTGCAGTCACAATAGTAATCATTGCCTTTAGGAACACACTTTTGATTTTTCCCTGTACATTCAGTACCTTCACACTCATATTCATCTGTAAAATATACTAACCTCTATTTATTATCAGAAAAAAGCCATATTTAATACCAGGTGAAAAAATTTTTAAATATAATGTTAAAAATTAATCAAGAATTTAGGATTGGAGGAGGGATCTGAAGAATTTTAATATTTAAATAAAGTTGTGCTGTGCATTCAGCTTGGTTATTATTGATGTTTATATGTTCAACAAATAATTTTGAAAAGTTACAAAGCTGATCACCAAAGCGGCTAGTATAATCAAATTCAATATTATTTAATTGAAAAGAAATATAATTGATTTTATTACTTATTACCTTTTTGAAACCTCTTTTTGGCCTCGTCCGTTATCTTGCCGATTTCTGCCAAATTGAAGGGGCATTTATTCTATTTACGGTATTTCAAGTTAAATAATAATATGCCACTTTGGGTGGGTATATGATTTTCAAGCCCTGTTTATTTTCTGTTTCATATCTCAGTTGCCTAAGTTATGTTGTTGTTACTTATCCTCATAGATCTGACATTATTCAAATCAACTCTAAAAAGTTGTTGACAGCCAGAAAGTCGGTGACAAGAAGAGGATCGGAAGTTAAGTCCGCCCTGGATAGTCCGATACAATCAAGTATATGTTTCGGTGAGGCTGGATGGGCACAACATTTTTTACAAGTCGAGTAAATTTTTGTGCCAAAGTCGAATGTTAACCATTTTAAAAGGTCAGTTGAGAATCTGGCCAAGGCAGTCTGGGAGCTTCGATTGCAATTGATTCCCAGAAGGGTGCCAAGAGATGCTGCGGTGTACCATTGGAGAGTAGGTGGAGTAAGGATGAATTAATTTTGTCTATATTTTTCATTGGAGCAAAGTTCCTGATAAGTAAGTGATGACCTGGTGGACTTATCTTCCGCACTGCCCTCTTTGGGCAATCTATATGCTATCCCGTTACTACCAATATTAACATGCGATGGAATCCATTGGAGATGTACGTCATGGTGTGGAGAAATCTTTTTATCTTGAGCAGGATACATATACAAGTTTCATCGCTTGCAGAGGACCAGCTACTAAGATGTTGCAGGACACTGCGGCTAGCCGATAAAATCCAGAATTCTCCATAATCACTGTCGTTGGAAAAAACAGCGTCAAGCCCCTCCTTAATCACAATGAACTCGTTCCTGAAGACAGGGCAAGTGTCTGGATTGCCTTGCTTTATTGATTTTTCTAGATGTTGGGTCCTAATATAAATACCACTGCCAGTACGGTTTTTTCTAAGACTACCATCGGTATAAACCTGCATTGCATCCTTAGGTATGCAACTGATAACTTCCAGAGCCAACTGTCTAAGATGGTCTTCGATGTGAATTTGCTTGTTTGCTGTGGAATTTCTAATTTCTGAAGATTTGTTTCAGATGCGCAGGAATAGATCGGATAACTATATTCCAGAAAAGGTCTTATAAATGAATGTGTGGTTATATGAGAGTATTTGCATCGGCACCCCAATGATGACCTAGAGATGACCTAAATTATAATTAAATAAATCAAGTGGAAGGTTGAACATTAATTAGTTCACAAAAATATTCCTGCATATTCCTGCACGTTATACTTCTGTAGTTTAATAAAATTTTGCAAGATATATGGATGCTTATTTGAAATACGGTTTTCAATTTTAAGTTTTTAAATTTATCTATTAGCAAATATATTTATTCAATTTTTTCATGATTCATTAGGTGTTAAAAAAAATAGTGTGAATCGATCGAACTGTTAAAAATGACTAAAAATTTATATTTCTCACTAATTTAGGTCCAGTTTGAAGAAGTGCAGTATGAATAAAATCACTTAAACCTTTCTCATGTCTTCTAAAATTCTACCGATTAAATTACGCGTAATTGTCAAGAATGTTTAGTTAACTTAAAGATCATTATAGGGTCAAAAGAATTAGGAGGGGTCAGAAGCATTAGAATATTTAATTAGAGTTGTGTTGTGCGTTCCGCTTGGTCATTATTGATGTTTATTTGTTGTACAAATAGTTTTGAAGCATTATAAAGCTGGTCACCAAAGCAGCTAGTATTACCGAATTCAATATTAATTCTGTAAAATGAAATATAATTGTATTTTAATACCTATTCCCTTTTTGGAGCCACTTTTTGGCCCCGTCCGTTATTTTGCCGATTTCTGCAAATTTGAGGGGTATTTAATCGGTTCATGGTATTTATGATCGAATAATAACATGCCACTTTGGGTGTATATGTCGGGGAAATATAATTTTCAAGAACTGCTGATATTTTATTTCAATTTTTAGGTACCTAAATTATAATTAAAAAAGCAATTAGGACGTTGAACATTAATTAGTTCTCTCATGAATATTCCTGCACTCTCGTTATGCTTCTGTAGTTTAATAAAATTTTGGCAGCTACGTCGACGGTTATTTGAGATACACTATTCAGTTTTAGGTTTTTAAAATTATCTTAAAAGACGGATTATTCAATTAGCAAATATATTTATTCAATTTTTTCATGATTCATTATGGCTTTTAAAAAAAGTGTGAATTGATCGAACTGTTAAAAGAGAATGAAAATTTATATTTCTCCCTAATTTAGTTCGAGTTTGGAGAAGCGCAGTATGAATAAAATGACTTAAACGTTTGACATCTCTTCTAAATTACTGCAATTTAAATGACACGTAATTGTCAAGACTGTTGAGTTAACATAAAGATCATAATAGAAATAACTTAAAAAACATAATATTTTCTCACATCTCTTGGTGTAATTCTTACCCTTGCATTGTATTTCTTTAGTTCCTTTTTTCTTATCATCTACCAGTTTAAAGTTTTCGTTGCAGTCACAATAGTAATCATTGCCTTTAGGAACACACTTTTGATTTTCCCCTATACATTCAGTACATGTACACTCAAAGGTGTCTGTAACAAATAATACCCTTTATTGAATACCAGAAATAAGCTATATTTAATACCAGGTGAAAAAATTGATAAATATAATGTTAAAAATTAATCAATAGGAGAGGATTGGAGGAGTGGTCTGAAGAATTAGAATATTTAAATAAAGTTGTGCTGTGCATGCAGCTTGGTCGTTATTGATAATTATATTTTGTACAAATAATTTTTATATGTCACAAAGCTAATTACGAAAGTGGCTAGTAAAATCGAATTCACTATTAATTGGGTGAAAAGTATATACAAAATATATTTGATTTTATTACTTATTCCCATTTTGGAGCCTTTATTTGTCCCCGTCCGACATCTTACCGATTTCAGCGAAATTTGAAGGGCATTTAATCGGTTTATGGTATTTCTGATTGAATAACTAACTGCCACTTTGTGTGGGTATGTCGGGCAATATGATATTCTAGAACTGTTTATATTTTGTTACTTTTTTCAGTTACCTAAATTATAATTAAAGAAATCAAGTTGGACGTTGAACATTAATTAGTTTTCATGAATATTCTTGCACTCTCGTTATACTTCTGTAGTTCAATAAAACTTTGATAGGCTTATATGAACAACGCTTTTCAGTTTTAGGTTTTTAAAATTATCTTAAAAGACAGATTATCCTATTCGTAAATAAATTAATTCAATTTTTGCATGATTCATTATGGCTTTTAAAAAAACAGTGCGAATTGAAAGAAATGTTTAAAAGCACTTAAAATTTATATTTCTCTTTCATTTAGGTCTAGTTTGAAGAAGTGTAGTATGAATAAAATCACTTAAACGTTTGACATCTCTTCTAAAATACTGCAGATTAAATTAGACTTAATTGTCAAGAGTGCTGAGTTAACATAAAGATCATAATAGAGATAACTTAAAAACATAATATTTTCTCGCATCTCTTGGTCTAATTCTTACCCTTGCATTGTACGTCTTTAGCTCCTTTTTTCTCTTCATCTACCAGTTTAAAATTTACGTTGCAGTCACAATAGTAATCATTGCCTTTAGGAACACACTTTTGATTTTCCCCTATACATTCAGTACCTTTACACTCATATCCGTCTGCAACAAATAATAATCTATATTTAATACCATAAATAAGCAATATTTAATACCAGGTGGAAAAAAAATTTAAATATAATCTTATAAATTAATTAAGAGGTTAGGATATGAGGAGGGTTCAGAAGTATTAGAATAATTTAATAGAGTTGTGCTGCGCATTCAGCTTGGTCATTATTTCTATTTATATGTTGTACAAATAATTTTAAAATGTTACAAAGCTGCTAGTATAATCGAATTGAATATTATTTAGGTGAAAGGAAATATAATTGATTTTATTACTTATTCCCTTTTTGGCCCCGTTCGTTATCTTGCCGATTTCTGCCAAATATGCGGTTTACGGTATTTCAGATTGAATAATAATATGCCACTTTGGGTGGTTATGTCGGGCTATATAAGTTTCAAGCCCTGTTGATTTGTTGACTTAGAATTAAATAAATCAAGTATACTTATTATAATTAAGTAAATCAAGTAGGCAGGTACTTGTAGCACCAAATGAAGTAATTTGGAAACACGAATTGTACCAGCGTATATTCGCCAAAAAATGTTTCGATTGCTTTGTTTGACCTGATAAGTAAGTTGATATTGGTTCGTTGGGCGACGTTAAGTCTGGTAGTTTCACTTGTCCTCCAGAACAGCAAATTACAGCTGTTTCATTCGTAAATTTGAGAGCACTACAAGACGTACATAATTAATCTATTTTTCCAATGATGACGCTTGGGTGAAGACTATAGTTGGCTGTCGGATCACAATGAAAGCACTAAGATTCAAATCAGAGTACTGGCAGCTTCTAAATAGCGATGTGTGTTCTCGATTGGTTTTCATTCTTGCTTCCCGTTGTTCTGATGTTTCCGACAAACGGGCTTGAGTAATGCGTAGTTTATTTGTTAACAGTCTTCTTTCCCGTTGTTCCGATGTTTCTGAAACACAGGTAGTTCTCTTTTTGCACGCTTGAGATGTTGATCAACTAAGAGCGATTCGTTTAGGTGGTATATTTATGCAAACATTGTCTATTTTAAATAATAAAAAAAGAAGAAAAAGAAAAGAAATTAACTGAGAAATATAAAAATGATAAAATTTAAATCAAAAATCCATTTTTTAAATGAAAGAAATAACATGAATTAATTCTAAAACTTTGTAATAATAAAAAATCTATTTCTCGCAGTTTTCAAATGACAACTGTCAGCAATGAAATCTTCGAGAACTAAATTTAGTTATGCTATCCTAAAATTCCATACTAAATGTAAATAATTATTGAAAACGTGCAATTTGAATGAAATTTACTTTTGTCTTAATTTTTAATAAACAGTTTTCACAATTCGGAATCGCAACGCTTGAGTACGCCCTCTAGCGGGAATCTGAAAATATCAGGCAGTTAGTTCTATCATAATCATTGGCAAAGACGGACGCAATTTTCTTAGTAGCAAATAAGAAGCAAAATTTCCCTAAGGAAAAAGCAGAAAAACTTGAAAAAACGACCTAGTACATCGGTAAATCTTTCAGAAACAAAACGCGCCCATCATTTGAAGAAATTTTCAATAATTTTTACCTTTCTATAATCAACAAACTCGCAACCGATAACTTCCATACTGTTACAGATGTGTGTATTACGGTAAAATCCTTTTTTTTATTGAATTCATTACAAATTAAAGTGAAATCAACATTGCTTAGTTTATTCCAATGAATAAATATGATTTCAGAAAGTGCAGAACTATAATAATTTCAGAATAGTATATATTTCTGAATCTATATAATTCGGAAAACAACAATAAAGAATTATCCGAATTACGTGAAATAATATCATTTACGATGATTATTAATAAATTAAATTAAATAGTTTTGAATTATAAATTTCAACTGGAATTCTGTTTTTCAGTTTCATATTGAAATTCATATCGAGATCTTGCAATTATAAAATTTTATTGTGTGGTATGTCATCTTCAAGTAATGAAGGGATAATATATGTATATATTATTTGAGAATAAAGTTTTCAAATGAAGAACACATCATTTTGGAATTCTCCAGATTTATAAAGCAGGTAAGTGTTAAAATTTTTGTAATAAAATTTTTTACTTGTAAATTGGACAGTTATAAGTGCAGCTATAAGTGCAGTTACTGGACAACTATAAGTGCAAACCGTCGAATTCGTTATTTCACCCCAAGATCGATTCTCTATTTCATCCCTTCGGCGAAGGAAATCTTATCTCTATTCCTCTACCACTGAGGATATTTTACAACAGGACTTCACTTGCTTTGAGGTGGAAGCAGAGTTTGATTTGTATCAACTAGCCTCCTCTGGAATTTGAACCACGGTTACTTCATTGTGAGACCGACGCTCTATCCCCAGAATCACCGAGGCTCTATTTTATTAATAATAAATCACATGCGTTTTTAATATATATCTCGATTCAAAGCACTGGAAGGGATAAGGCTTATTAATAACAAGAGCACCCGCCTAAGCAAATTAAAGCTAATTGAATAATCCTTCACACATTAATTAGCCGAAAAGCATATAGGCTGTTTGTAATAAACCTAAAAATATCACATTTATTAAAGAATATCGAAGACTTTTCCAATCAGAGAGGCGCATTGTAAAAGTATTGCAATATTTGTAAAGAATCGTATTCTGTATAGTCTAAAGGCATATGGGTTGATTGTATCGAAGCTAAAAATATCAGATTGAATAAAGTGAAGTGAAAACTTTTCCAATTAGCAAAGAATACTGTAAAATTATTACAATATTTTTAAAGAGTAGGATTTTTTTAATTAGCTTAAAGGCAAATGGGTTGATTGTGATGAACCTAAAAATATCAGGATAAATGAAGAATACTGGACACTTTTCAAATTAAGAGCATTATAAAATAACTGTAATGTTTGCACAGAGTGGCATTTGCTAATTAACCTAAAAGCATATATGCTGATGGTTATGGCCTGAAGGTATCGGGTTAAATGAAGAATGCTGAAGACTATTTTATTAGGAGCATTGAAATAGAGTGCAATGAGTCAAATTTTCCAATTAGCTTATAAAATAAACAAAAGACATGTTATATGACACTGAAATTCATTTACCTCTATTGAATGTCGAATCAATACTCAATGAATCCGCAACATACGCCACACAAATTAGTAAAAAAGAAATAACACATTTGTTCATCTTGAAAATTACATTTGGTTATTGTGATTCAAGAAAATAGCTTCTGAGGTGATATTTTTTTTTCAAAGTTTGTGAAGTGGTAACTTATTATTTCATTATCTTCAGTAAGTTTTATCTGTGATTTCTTCCGAGAAAGACGCGTCGGTAAGTCCTCAAGTCATTGAATTCAGAAAAAATGAATTGCTACGTTCTACTGAACTACTTCAAACTGTTTACATATTAAATCAACTGTTATCTTTTCAGTAAGTAGCAAGATACAGGGGGGATTTAAACAGAAAACCTTGTCTGACTGATAAATTTCAATCACTTATGATATATAGTTTTGTTTTAAAGAAATATGTGTGTTGTCTATATATTTGTGTCCATAGGCGTTACATATTTCCTAACTTTTAAACTTCTATTTTTTATAAATATAATCATTACTAATGCTTTTTTATCATAAATGTTATCATTACTAATCCATTTTTGAAAAAAATAAATCCGTCATCAAAATAATCAAATCTTAACTATTAGTCTTATTCTCAGCTAAAATATTTCAATATTAACATGAGATAACTTGAGGTTAGTCAGTTTTATTAAAATATGACTTAAATTTTGAAAAAACTTTTTAAGAGATTGGAATAATTAACTTGTATTTCTGAGCTTAATAATTTTTAAATAACTAGAGGGCTCCGCCCCCTGCTCGCTGACGCTCGCCAACCCCCGGAGAATTGCTTCGCAATTCTTGCTTGGTTTGCTTCGCAAAACCAAGAATGCTTTGATTTCATATATTTCAATATTAAACTGAATATTAACTGTTATCATCGAAAAGAATTAATTTTCTTAAATGCAGAATAAGCAGTGTGTCAATATCAATGTCACTTTTTTTCGTTGACTACAGTTCCTTCTATGTCCTATTTGTTCTCTAAATGAGCCAAAATTGTCAGAAATTAACATCAATGTGCAGATATAATCTTAATATGAAACTTGTTTAAAAAAAATGATAATCACAATAATACAGACTTTGTCCCAAAGAAATGAATATATTTTTAACACATTTAATTCAATATATATATATATATATATAT